AGTGCGGATGGAGAAATTGGGTTGCTTTGCCTTTTGATTTTAAATGTTAAGGAAAATGTATGTACTGAGATTTTGAGAAGTCAGTGGCTTTTAATGTTTATTTCTCTCTTTACTCTCCTCATAGAATGTGATTGTTGACATGCACAGAAAAAAATGTTTTGAACTATGGAGCTTCTTTCAAATTAATAAATTGCATTTTTGTTCTTGGCTGTAAAGAATCGGGTTTGGTCATTGCTGGTCAACTTGTTGTGTTGAATACTTAAAGTAGGTAGTTAAAAGGAACACCACTTCTTTTTTTTTTTTTTTTTTTTTTTTTTTACAACTTCCCTGCAAGTTTAACTGTCGCGTTATCCCTTTTTTTTTTATTTATTCAGCCAATTTCTTGCTCTGGCGGGAGCACTTTTTAGCTTAGCATAGCATAAATCATTGAAACGCATTAGACCAGTAGCGTATTACTCAATGTTAATGTTCCTATTTAAAGCTTGACCCTTATGTAGTTGCATCAGGTGATAGAAAATTGAACTATGCTTTCGTTCTGGCCCAATATCCAAGGGACTTTGCTGCCGCACCATGGCTGCAGTGATGTTACTGTTGCCTTGAGACTATTTTCAGATGCATCATAATATCATTGCACCTGCTACCATATAACAGCAGTAGATTTCTTTGTTTTGTATGTCAGTATGAGAGAATAGGTACATTTTTTATTTATTTATTTTTTTTTAGCTAATAATCTAATTCAGTTTTGATTCCAAATGGTAAAATCGAATTGTTTAACTCTAAGGCGGTTGTAAAATTCAACTATTTCAAAAAATATTAAAGAAAGAAAGATGTTGTGATGTAAAGCACAATAACTTTCAGAAAAAATCTAACTAGTATAAAAAGTTTTCGTATTTCCAAAAAATATTAGAGTGTGCCTTTAAGATCAGACAGATGGATACAGTGAAAAAAATGATTTCTGCAAAACTGTTGCAAACAATTTATTTGTGTTAAATTTAAACAAACTAATTAAGTTAAATTATATTTAACTTTGTTTACATTTAACACAATTAAATAGTTTATAACCAATTAACGTAAAAAATTTGTAAATCCAAGAAATCATCTTTGAATATTTTTTTCAGTGTGTAGATAGATAGACAGACAGACAGACAGATTTCATTTTCATCTTCGAATTCATCTATTATGTCACTAATCTACATCTTACAAGGTGTTTCTTCTACCTAAGTTAGGTCAAGGTGCAAGATCCTGTAGATAAAGTCACCACTGAAATGCAAAATACAATTATAATAATAGTTTTTACTGCGGTCTTCAGCTTCCAATGTAAGGTAAAGTGATGGAAATGTCCTCCTTAGTGTTTTATCCTTCTGTCTTTGTCATCCCTCAAAATGGCCAAGGTTCTGTCCTGAACTCTTGTAAACTCACCATAATGACTGATATCCATTATAAGGTAATGTGTGGAACCACACAGATAGTTTCCCACACAGACTTCTGAGTAATGGCAGTCCAGCATTCACTCCTCCTCATGTGTAGCCACATACACATCCAGTTGTTCTTGAATAAATATAGTGATTTAATGAATTTTAATAACATGTCTATATTTCACATTATACATTACATTCAATTACACACTTCAGCGTTACAAGATTTCATGAATTGTTTCGTTATTTTCCAAGAGGCAGGTAAAAGTGTTTAAAAAGAAAAAAAAATCAAAACTTCAGTGTATTTCTGAAATTTAGTTGCAATTTTTATTTATTTTTTTATTTTTATTTTTTACTGCTGTGCATCTGTGTTGCATCAAGTCAAGTCAACTTCTGAATCTCAAAAACATGTATGCCAGCCTCAAAAAAACTGTCCCACATTTTTTTGAATATTGCTAATTTAAAATTGGGTTGAGATCAGGAGATTGTGCTGGCCACTCCATAATGTCAACCCTATTTACATTGCTGAACAATTAATGATACTACGATGTTTTTTGACAGAATAAACACATTTGCTTTTTAAACTTCACATTGCTATTATTTTCAACACCACCTTTTCAAAGCAATAAACAATTATTTAGAAGAAGCAGCACACAAGAGGAAACCATTGAGTTTGCTTATTTGTGGATAAACATACCCAACAATTTACTTGTGGATACATGTGCAATAGAAACAAAAAAAAAACGATCACAAATTCATCCACAAGTTCAATTTTTGCAATCCACAAATGTCACTACTGCTAATAGCAGGTTCAACAGATTACTGATGTTTTTTATTTATTTATTTATTTTTTTTGTTACAGTTTTTTTTAACCGCATGCATCATAATTACTAAACATGGCCCATAAAACAAGGCATTTCTTGGGAACAAAATCAGCATATTGTGAGCATAACACAAAATATAGATAGACAGATGTATGAATCACACACAGACACACAGAAACAATTGTATGCGTGAATAAATTACTTCAATCTGACATTATTTCAAAATTACAGAGGTCCTGGAAGCATATCCTTTTAATTACATTGCAAAACTGTAAATGAATCAGAATTTCACAATAACATGAGCAGCGTTCCATGACTCTTCCATGACTCTTAATTTGTGCTTTAGGCAAATACGGAGAGATTCTCCAGGACAGACTTCTTATTGGAGTTGCTCTTTGTCCAGCTGGGAGCCATGTTTCAGATTTTGACGGACAGATCTTGGGCCTCATTTATAAAGCAGGCAGTCTATGCTTGAACCATGGGAATGTTCATATTCATAAACACTGTCTTTGCTTGAAAAATGTGCTAAAACTTTATAAAACTGTATGTAATTAAATAAATGAGCATATCAAAATATGTTTAACCTTAGAGGAAAAAACAGTAAGCTATGCCGAGTTTTGGCTGCTTTCAAAACAGATAAAAAGGTCGCTACCTCCAACTTTGGCCTTACTAAAGTTCTTACTAAAGCCACTGCATACAGATGATGACTGACACTGTCATATAAGCTATTAATTAAGGATGATATTGTATTAATTAAGGGTTGTTTACAAGGCAGAGACGCAGTAAAATGAACAAAAACATTCACTTTGAGACTTCTTCACACCTAAACCAAAGAGCTTAGAATCACCAAGAGACTCAATAGAACGTTCCATTGCCGTCCATTGCTTTGTTTTGTTTTGTTTTATTTTAAAAGCGCATTAAAGTTGAAATAGAACTGGAAAGACGCCAATACAACACTTACTTTACAGTCATCAGCACTTTAAATAGTTTTTTTTTACAGGCTCAATTTTTATATTTTAACTATATCTATTTTCCTGGAACTGTCACTTTTAGGTGAGATTACTTTAAATTAATTTAATGTAATAGTTTATGCACTGGCTTAATATAAATTAATACTCGCATGTTAAATTAAATTAACATAACTTTCATGATGTTGATAACAGACTGACTACACTTTTTGTTGTAGTATTATGTTATAATAGTATATAGTATTTTTTTTCCGGCGTTGTCTGTTAAAGAAAGACTAATAAAGCTCATGTAAAAAGGAACTTTCTCCAAAATGATTGAATTCTGACATATAAATTCATATATATATATATATATATATATATATATATATATATATATATATAAAAACGCAATATCACACTCGTAGCATTGCGAAATGGCTGTATATCGGCACTGGTGGGAGACGTGCGTTGCCACGAGGCCGCAGGCCGAGTGCCTTAGTGCCCCCACCAGTGCCGATATATATATATATATATATATATATATATATATATATATATATATATATATATATATATATATATATATATATATATATATATATATATATATTTTTTTTTTTTTTTTTTTTTTTTTACTCTTTAACTCAATATTATTCATTCTGTGTAATGTTAGTTATCTGTGTTGTTCTATTGGAACTTTTATTCCAAAATGGCCGTTGCGTGACATTAGCGGTATCTAGTGGCTGTTTCCCAAATAGCAGCAGAGTGTCACCTCTTGGTGATTCTATGCTCTTTGCCCAAACATACACACTATACACTACAAATTATTCATTAATTCGTTTCTTATTCATTCATCAATAATTTCTTTGGCTTAGTCCCTTATTTATCAGGGGTCACCTTGGTGGCCAACTATTCTAGTATGACTAACATTCCCTTTCAACATGTTTAGGATGACTAATTCAAGTTCATATTTTTTAAAGTCAATTTCTTTTCTTTATGTGGTTCTGGCAATGCAATCTCACTGCAATTCTTAACTTTTTGATTTTGCGGCTAATTTGTTTAAATTTGTACGATTTCATTCGTACAATTTAGTACGATGTGCTCATCACCCAATGACGGTTGGGGTTAGGGGTGAGGTTAGGTGCCACGCCTCCTTTTTAAAATCGTACATTTTCGTACGACTGAACTCATACGAATTAGCCACTAAACTCACAAAACGTAAAATACTTATGTTTCCTTGTATGATCAGGCTGGTTCTGGCCTCTTGGACATTTTTTTCCTCAGTATTCTAATTATTTTTTGTTCACCTGAATTTTTCTTCAGAATAGAAACTTTATTATAATGCAAGCTTATGGTGGCCATCTTGAAATCTAACAGATGCAGTTAACATTTTTTCTACCGACCTTTAAAAAAAAAAATCCTTTTTTTTTTTGCATTTCCGAGTTTACATTCCACGCTGCTGTTTTGCCCCCCTAATATTACCATAAAACAGGGGTTCCCGAAATGGCGCGCACACACACCAATAGACCAAAGTCTATTCTTCGTTTATTTTTTTTTATGTATTTCAGTGCTTTAAATGGGCCAGAAAGTTTAACCTGGTGTTATAAAATCAATCTGCTGCATCTGACGCTATTGCTGTGTCTTTAATATAATGTATTTACCCCTGGGGTCTCAATCCAACAGAACAAGTAAATAAGCTACTATGGTAACTATAAACGACTGTTTTTTTCTCTTCAATTGGTTATAGATAAAATATGGTAATTCTTATGGTCTAATAATAATGAGTAGATTTTTGGAAATCACCAGGCGACCCCCCTTCACTGTTCCGCGACCCCTCAAGGGGTCCCGACCCCCACTTTGAGAACCACTGCCATAAAAACACAGGAGGACCCTTTTCAAACACATTTAGGACGATCTGTAATTATATATAAATGAGGCCCCTGTTGACTGTTTGCACTGCATCCTTTTCCTTGCACACTTGACATGTCTTCATAAATTGGAGGCGCTGTTTGAGCATATGGTTTTTTCTGAAAAGAGTTTTTAAAAGTGGAGTATTTGAACATTTGAATGACACTCAATTGCATGTAGCCATTTGTATCTAGTGTGTTAGGAAACTTACATAGTGCATCACGATGACAGCGGCGACTGCGAGCACAATAAGACACACTCCTGCTGAAAGTGTGTAGATGAGGAGAGAAAACCTTCTACAGGAGCACGACTCACCTGAGGCAGACAACAACGTGTGGTCAGATGCTTTCTTTCATACTTTATCATATTGTGTAACTGCAATTCATTTTTTTTTTGGCTCTTTTTGTTCGACCGTTCATTACACTGAAGTTAAGCAGGGCTGCGTCTAGAACTAAACTGCATTTCGTTGCCTTGTATTTGTACGTGTAATGACAATAAAGTTGAATCTAATCTAAAAAAAAAAAAAAAAAAAAAAAAAACCTGTATGGGAGACCACATGGGAAAACTAGGTTGCTGCTGAAAGTGGTGTTAACGAGGCCAGCAGGGGGCGCTCAACCTGCGGTCTGTGTGGGTCCAAATGCCCCAGTATAGTGAAGGGGACTCTATACTGCTCATTGAGCACTGTCTTTTGGATGAGACGTTAAGTTCTCTGTAATCGTTAAAAATCCCAGGATGTCCTTCGAAAAAGAGGAGGGGTTTAGCATCCTGGCCAATTTTGCTTACTGGCCTCTGTCCATCATGGCCTTCGTAACCATCCCAATCATATTTGGCTTCATCGCTCTGTCTCCTCTCCATCAATCAGCTGGTGTGCGGTCTGGCACAATATGGCTGCCATTGCGTCATCCAGGTACATGCTGCACACTGGTGGTGGATGAGGATATTCCCCCAATGTGTAATGCACTTTGAGTGTCCAGAAAAGCGATATATAAATGTAAGGAATTATTATTATTATTATTTAACTGTTAAAAAAGTCACAGTTGCAAGATATAAATGAAGAAATTTGACTTTATTGGTTTAACCTTCTCTAGGGCATGGTCATTTATAAATGACACTAAGAAAATTCCATTTTTAAACACACTAATGATAGTTGTAAGAATTGAAATATTACAAATATTCTGATATCTTTGACAATTCAAAACATGAGCTGAAGACAGGGCCAATGGACTCCACAACCCACCAGGGGGAATGCGTGAAAAACCAGTTCCTGCTGCATTTGCATCTGACTATGCTGAGACTCAGCTTCATCCCCCCAACTCACACATATGGTCATTTCAATGTTTGAATGTTCTAGAATTAACCAAACTGACTTTAACCATCATGTTTGATATCATTTGAAATGTCTCAGTGCGATTGGTACAATGGTCTCATTCTCTCAGAAATAGACATAATCAGAACAATAAATATATAACTTCAGGCATCTTTTGATCCACTGTGAGGGGTGTGACTTTTCCACTAAGTGTGAATGCCTTCTTTGTTATTCACACCCCCTTCCTTAAGGGAATTCTTGGATTATTTAAGGTAAGGGTTGAGAAAAACTCAGCGCGATTCTGCCTAACCAGATCAGCCCATAACATGGCTTGCACCATGTTATGTATATTACAAAGTCAGGAATGCATCTTTTTCATCTTGGATTTATCTTTGATAATTTGATGGTTTGTATTGATAATTTATGAATTGACTGATTGAATTGGCATAATACATTTACCTGACTAATAAATTGTTATGTTTTGAATTATTCAAACCTCGTGTTATTATCACTGATAAATGTTGTTGTCCATAGCACTACAAGCCACTGTACAGGTTAGTAACGGACTAAAACATGTTAGACGGAGCAGCGTGGCACGCTAAACAATGTTGTTAGAGATCCGACTAGCAAATTGGCATTATTTCATGTATACGTAGACTGCAAAAGGCCAACTATGGGTTTTCTATTTAGAACAACAAAATATTGTTGAAACTACTTTAAATGTGGATATTTAGGCCTTCATCTACAAATTTATAATCCTGTGCGATTATTATTAAAATACTTTGTCTTGATTAAGTAGATAACAGATCTATGGGGACCACATGAAAATCTCCTAAATTGAGTAAGTAGGGTTCTGCCTTTTTAGGAGAGTGGTTAATCGCCTCTGTTTAATGACCAAGACTGACAAGCTTGTATTAAGAGATTGTATACCCGGCCGGTGCAAGACTCGAGATGCTATCGGAATCTGAGTAAATGAGAATAAGGTATAATAACAAACCAAAAGAATATTCAATCATAATCTAAAATAATGTGAAAAGGAAACAAAATAATCTTATCAATGTTTTATAATTGGAGTCAGATAAAACGAGGATAAACATATTAATATTCTAAACCATCTCATACTAAAATTGGAGTCAGATATGAGCTAAGTTTAATATAAATCAACATTGTGCACTGGAAAGACCGAACATGCAGTGAACCTTCATCCACCATTGGATACCGTCATTGGACCAACTGGCTGGACCCTACATAGTTAACCAATAAAATTAAATCTTTGTAATTTTGCATGACATCTCCTTTAGCCAATAAAATGAAAAGATAGTTGCCGTTTGTTTTACATAATTGGAAAACAAACTAAATGAGACCGCAACACACACTAGGTGACGTGCTCTCAAGGAAAAATGTGGAGTTCATTTTAACTATAAAAATATTAACCATATATATATATATATATATATATATATAGATAGTACATTTTAGGATGTTTTCTAAAGATGTGTCATTTTTTATCCTCATTTTAGAGAAATAAATCAAAAGCACAAAAATCTGCATCATTTAAAAATGACAAAGACCTTTTAGGTAAACATATTCCCTGTGTAGCTGTCAATGTTATTCAGTACTATTAGGTAAACATATTCCCTGTGTAGCTGTCAATGTTATTCAGTACTATTAGGTAAACATATTCCCTGTGTAGCTGTCAATGTTATTCAGTACTATGAGGCAGTGTAAGAGTTTTTGTGTCTGATCTAGGTTGATGTTAGTAAGTTTTAGTTACACTACTATTATTGAAAAAGACATTCACACTATTTTGTAAAAATAAATTGTTACATTACGTTTTTTTGATTTTTTTTTACCATTAAAGTAAAAAAAAAAAAAAACACAAAAAACACTTGAAATAACAAAAAGAAATATATTTACCTTCTTTTGTGCTATTCAATAGTCATGTGTACACACTGACAGGTCAAATCTGCTTCTCTCTTTTTCAAGTTCAAAGCAAACTTGAATGCCAAAGCATTTACATATGTAAAATAGCCTATAAGATATACTGTCGTCATCATCAAACTAATAAAACAATCAGCAATGAATGAATAAAATGAATAAAAACATCGCAGTCGATTAAAACATGTAGATTGTTTAAATAAGGCAAATGTGTTGAATAATCATTACTAATGGTGTACTCTGAGTATACAGCAACGTTTTTCTGAATCTCGTCTTTCTCTCGCCTTTCGGCTGTGCGCGCTGTCAGCAGTGAAGCAAGCGGAAAGTAGGGTTTAATAAAAGAGTAATGCAAAAACATATAAGATTTAGAAAGCAAAAGCAAAAGTTGAATCCCGGACATCCAAGGAGATTTAGAAACCCGGTCGGGACAAACTTTTTAAGACCGGAAAAGGCGTTTTGCAGAGCACGCGCGACTGTCTGGTGGCAGGTAGATATATTAAGTAAATACTCACCTGATGTGTGCACATGCAGAAAGAAAACTGTGTTCGTTGAAGGCTGATGTGATAAGTTTCCAGAGAAATCACAGGTATAGAGTCCTGTGTCTGTGTGTTTTAAATGAGAAAGGGTCACAGTAACTGTGTGTAACTGTCCAGAAATCTTGATGCGTCCCTCAGTCCGTGCTTCTGCTCTTGCACTTCCATCTACAGAGATGTTCAACACACTTTCTGAATGAGCAGAGCTTCGTCGTAAATACAGATTTAGTGGGAATGATGCACTTGCTTGTGCACCACAAAACATGTCCACAGATTCACCCTCAAGCCTTTGGATGTAGCGGAAATGTTGATACGCTATAAAGTCATCATAAAAATAAGAACATTAAAAAGAAATTCATTCAAGCAATATGGATACATTTTTTATTTATTAAGAGATCCTTGTATATTCGACCCTACACGAGTTAAAACCACCCAGCATTTACAGCGTGCGGATAAAATGACATACAGTGACATTGTGTGTGTTTTTAAAGACTTTTTAATTTTAAAGACCGATTTTGTCTGCATCCTTAAACTATTATTTATCTTTGAGAGAGTACAAAATTATGATTTTTATCAACCTTAAGCTCACTCGCTGGTACTGAGAATATAACAGCTATAATAAAAGTAAATTGAAATCCTCAGAATAAAAATATTTCACTTTGACGATTTCTTAAATTATGGCACCTGTGCAAATTATACAAACTAATCTCCAAAAACCAAAGTGCTAGACTTTTTTTCAACTACTGTCACACATCAGAGACTCTGAAACTAAATAATGTCCATGTAAATCCCATTGAATTAACGCTAAATAATATTTTAATAGCAATAACATTTGTGTATCCACTAGTAACATACCTAATGTTTCTGCCAAAAATATCCAGAGTAAGTAGCAGACTCGCATGATGCGCTTATTGAACGTCGTTAAAAAATAGGCAACTTCCGAGGATCACCTCTACAGTCTCTTTTCAGCAGTGCTCCACCCAAACACAGACAACGAAAGTCTGCTTAATTTCCGGTGCGTTTTAGTTTTGTTGTGACAAAATCCTGTGCAGTACATATATATATTATAGAATTGATTTTTTTTGTCTTTACATTTTTTATCTAGGTCTAAATAATATATCTATATATTATTACACACAAATTTATATAAAAAAGACATACACAATTCATTCAGTTTCATCTCAGCTTTTATTACTATAGAACAGGACAATGGGAAATGAATCAGTCAAATATTGAAAAGAAGATACAGATACTACCTTGCAAGTAAAAAGAATAATTACTGAAGCTCTACACTCTTAAAAGTAAGGTTTCTTTTACTGACACTGCTGGTTCCATAAAAAACCTTTAGCATCCACATGACCTTTCTATTCACAGAAGATCGATTAAGTGTCCATCACACAATCGTAATAGTAGTAACTGAAAGGTTCATTTTGGAACCAAAAATCACCTACAGTTAATTCTACAGCATCACTTTTTAAAAATATATTTTGGAAGCATTATTTTTAAGAGTGTACAACATCGAGATTTACAAATCCACAATAATTGTACTTACTCAGTTTAACCTGTAAAGTGGATCCTGGGTTACATTTTCCTTAAACAAGAATCAATGGTAACCGGACAGATTTAAAAAAAAAAAAAAAAAAAAAAAAAAAAAACAACTCACAGACAGTACTTTACAAAACACCAAACTACCTGATTCATATGGTTGGCTAGATGCTAAATCAATCCTCGGAGCAGTCCTGCAAATTAATATTAAAACAAACTGTGGAGAAAGATCCATAATACACATTATTATTATTATTATTGTCAAACGTGTGCTAACCTTTTTCAAAAACCAGCGGAAAAGCTTGTGAATCAGTTAAATCACACAGGTGAGCCACTGCGCACAAACACTATAGCCTCATAACAACACGACATTTGATCAAAAAGCACACTATAGCTTACCACAAGGATTTAAATGAATGTTCTGGGTTTAAACAATGCTCATGGACCGAATCTGTGGCGTCTTGATTGATTGGGAATGAGGGGAACAATATAAAAAGCTTGGTGGAGGACTGTCTGCTGTTTTTTGCGGAGAGGTTAAGATACCTTTGATTAGACTGGCCTCTGATAGAGACCAAATTTCATGAGCATTTACTAAGACAAAATAATTAGCATGACTGCTAATTATGTTGCGTTTCATGCGAATGGTATATATTCAGCTCCTGGTGTTTCTGACAAACTGAGAGAGGTCAAAATCATCAACTGTGGTAATCGACAGCATGCTGACAGATGTGGTGCAAAATAACATTTTCTTTAACATACATTACTGTTCAAAAGTGTTGGGTTAGTAAGCTTTTTAATGGCTCTTCAAGAAATTTCACAGCAAAATCCTCAGAGTAAAATTTACTCAGTTCAGAGAGTATATGATCTCTCTTAAAATAAGGCCAAACAGGTTGGTATCAAGTAAAGCTGCGGTTTGTGGAGTTGCTTAATGATCCTCTGCTGAGATTTTGAGATTCAATGTATTATATTTCAGCTGATTTCATCAAAGGCTGTGACTGAAGTCAGTTTATCAACAGCAAATATTCATCATCAGTGCTCAATCATCACCTAATTTATCCTTAAGTGTCTCATTCACTTGAGTAACTTTAACTCCATTTAAAAAGGGGCCAAATAGTATCAAACTGGGTACATTTTACTCAGAGGGTTTTGCTGTGCCGACTGTGGTTGCATTTATGGGATTAACAAAATAGATCTAAAGTAATATTGTTAAATATTACCATTTGACAATATTAAGTTTTAGTTTGAATGCTTTATCTTATTTTTATGATGCAAAGCTTAGTTTTATGAATTGGTAATTTGTGAGCATCATTACTCGTCTTCATCTCATCCTTTAGGAATTACTCTAATATGCTGATTTGTGTTTGTTCACCCAAAAATGAATGTCATTTACTCACTATTTAACTTGTTTTAAACAGTGGTTTCCTATTTTTGTATACAACAGATATTTTGAAGAATGCCAAAAACCTGTGATCTGTCAGTATTTACAGGCTTTACATTTTCTTCAAAATATCTTGTGTATTGTTTGAAACCAATTGAGTTAAATAAAAACTTGTCATTTTTTTTTTATTTGCTTTTGACTCCTAAAGTGCAGAAGACTTGAATCATTAAGTTAAAATTTGTATGTAATGTTCTGTGAGAATAAAAAGATCTTCTAGATTTTGAATGGCCTGATGGAAAATTAGTAGACTTTCATTTTTGGCTAAATCATCCTACATTTATCAATGTTAAGTATAGTTTTACAGACTTTTCTGAAAACCATAACCACAGAAATGTTTTAAAAAGTAGCAATACTTTGAAATAGAAATCTTTTGTAGTGTTAAGGTATTTTCACTCCCTTTTCATAAATTTAATGTGATTACGAATTTAAAAAAAAATCTTACTGACCCCAAACTTTTGAAGCACGTTAGATACAATAGTCACAGCTAAAACTAAGAGTTAGTCAAAAAGACTTCCCTTAATATTAATAAAACCGAGGGCATCGCCAAACTTGCTCCAAGTTTGGGGACATTAATATCCAACAGCCAAATGGCTGTGAAGCCCCCTGAATACAGAAAGTAAAGAGAGAAAATACGAGACTTGCCTCAGCCTGGGCAGGACAACACTGAGACTCTGCCTCAGCCAGTCCCATGGCATCGCTACAAGGAGAAGAGAAATCCTCAGTTTAGGACAACAACCACAGGGAACTACAGTCACCTAACCTGTCTCTTCCTGAAAACCACACTATTACAGGGATCATTCACTCAAAAAAAAACTCATAATGGAAGACATTTCGAAGAATGTTGAAATCTTGCAGCTGCTGACTTCCACAGTATTTGATGTTCTTACTCTGGACATCAGTAGCAACCAATTTCTAGCATTCATCAAAATATCTTGTGTTCAACAGGAATAAAAAGACCACCTGAGTGTCAGTGAACCAAGTACATTTTCATTTTTGAGTGAACTAGCCCTTTAAAAAGGATAGTTTACCCAAAAATGAAAATGTATTTACAACTTTCCATTCAGTAGTTACAAACCTTTATGAGTTTCTTTCTTCTGTTGAATGCAAAATACATTTTGAAGAAAGCTGGAAACTTGTAAACAATGACTTCCATGAAACTCAAATGAATACTATCAAAGTCAATGGTTACAGGTTTTCAGCTATCTGCAAAACATCTTTTGAGTGTTCAACAGAAGAAACTCAAATAGCTTTGGAACAAGTGAAGGAGAAGTAAATACATTTTCATTTTTGAGTGAACCAAGCGCTTTAAAGGCCAATTCACACCAGGATTAAGTATAATGATAATGGCAATTTGGCATTACACCGATGCACAACATTGTTACTACGTGCCATTATGCATATAGCTGTAATGTAAACTTAGCTACATGATTGATGTCTTAAGTGTAATAGTCATTGGTGTGAACAGGCCTTTGGTCTGCATATAAACAATTCTGTGGATCATAAGGGTTACTGGAGTCCTTCCATTCTTAGGAAGACCGCTAACTGAAAGGTTGTTTATCTTGGTTTCTATAAGTGAACCATACATGTTCTTGCATAAAGAAATGAAAGGGGTCTTATTTCTTCTTTTTCATTTCACCAAAACAGTCACAATTAGATTTTTGATTTTTCTGAATTACTTTGTTGCAGCATTTTATACATTTCTATTTGAATGCTGATCATCTGTGCTGCTCAAATTGTGACACTTGACTAGATGAACTTTGGTCAAAGTTATAGTTTTAGATTGCGTTTTGTTTGGGTACAATAGACTGTGTATTTAGGACTGTTTTTGAGTTCTAAAAAGTTATATTAAAATGGCACAAAGTTTTTCTCAAAAGAAGCGAGTTTGATTCCTCATTATTTGACCCCTTAAACTTCAATATGAAAAAACTGGTAGGAACATAATAGGTAGAAGCAATCGCTTCAACTCTCATCACATCCATCAACACATTCTCACACACCATCTTCATACAAATAACAGCCATCATGTGTATCAACTGTAGTACAAACCTTGAGGGACTGGCCTTTACTTGCTCATGAAAAAACAGCCGTTAGATTTCAATCGTTTATTACAATTCAAAGTGGAACAATACAGATATCATTCACAGGAGTCCTTGTTATTGGCCCTACAGAGGGAACACTGTAAATGTAGACAAGCAGACATAGAAAAATAAACTCAACAGTGACAGCTATCTGAAGCCCTCACCAAGCAAAGCTGGGGACAGGACGCCCAACAGCACCTATGGGTGCTGCGAAGGCTTCACACTTTTAGTACAGTAGTATATTTACAGTGACTTGCCTTGATCTTGATAAAGGTGCTGTACGAAACTCCAGCCGCTTCAAATTAATACGAACCATATTTACTACACTTCACTTCTAAAAACCTAAACAAAACATGGGAAAAAAAGCCAAACTGTATGATCTGCAACAAAGGGTAGATCTAAAAATAAAAGACTGGGTAAAATCAGAATGTCCCATGCGTTACACAGTTTGATTCCTCATTGCAACAAGGAGGGTTACGGTTACTGATCTGGATAGTAAAGCACGCCACTAGATGGTAAAATGCTTGAATCGGCAAACCTAATGAAGACCAGCGGTGACGCTTCAATAGCGGCCTCCGGGAGACATTACAGGAGGCCTCATGCCAATGGCTGGCCGAGGGGGAGCAGCCTGGTAGGGAGGAACCATTGGTGGAGCTTGGCCATATGGTGGCATCCCACCCGGGACATACCCAGGCACTGCCTGCGGCGGAGCACCGTATGGACCTGCATGAGAAGAAATGGATAAGTTGCATTTAAAGCAGACATTCAAAAACAAAAAGAACTTTTGCAGTTGCTGCATTATGATTCCACACTTGCACATATCAACATTTGGAAAGGATGAGCTGTGTAATGGCAGCAAAGTACAGCATGTATTCATTTCCACTTTCTTTAGCACTGTATCATAACACTTTTCAGGACCCTTTCCTATGGGTACCTAGTATTACAGTACAATACAAAAAAAAGTTGAACTAGTCTTTTTGGTG